GAACGCATGGCTGGAACTGAAGTAAGGTACCGTATTAACTATAAGTTGGGATGTACTTACACTAACGGGACTTTGGCTGAAGGCCTTGACATGTTCAGACTAGAGGCTGTTCTTTCCTGCTAAGTCTTTCCGGCTTTTACGTGCCTAGCATCCGTCTCCTTCTAACTGCCTTAATCACACTAATGACATTCCGATAAGAACACGTCCTACAAACTCTTCACCACGTGGCAGTCTCGATTCTTGGGTCCAAATGTTCTCCAGGTTAAGATATTTCACTTGCCTGAAGCTGGCCTGTGTTTAAGTTAAACACGCGACGAGCTGTCACGTTATCACGTAACGTGATGCCAGAGTTTCGAAGGAGCAGCCCATGACGGAGAGTGGTGAGCTTCACGTTCCGGCCAGCTTGTCTCCGGTACCCAGTGATTAAGTGTTTCAGGCCGGAACTCAACGCTTCACTGACGCATTCTGCTGTAAGTGAACCTCCAAGTTAATCTCCCCAATCCTGTCATTTTATGTAGCCTGCGTACTTGAAACAGCGTTGTTAAACCTTTGAAGTCCAGTGGCAACAAGTCTCGTCTGCTTCGAAAATCAATAACCCTTCATTTTGAATTTATGGGTTTCGTATAATTATCAGAGTAAACAACATTAACCAGTTGATCTATTTAATGGTCAAGCGCTGTGTTTTCTTCGCGGTACGGACTGAATTCTTAAATATTATTCAGACGAGCTTCACGCTTCAAAGGGTTAAATAAAGTTGCTAACAGTCTTTCAATAAGGTTTATACAGTACTGCAGGGGCAAGATTCTCTTAATTCAGAAGACGTCGCTTGGATAAACATTTATAAGTTTACTGACAACGGCGTTGTAGCACTGTTGTGATCTTCTGTTCGGGGACTATTATTATTTTATTATTGTCATGACGACCGCCACGGTGGTCTAGCGGTTAGAACGCTGGCCTTGTAATCCTGGGGTCTCGGGTTAGATTCCCGGCTGTGCCCGAATTTATAACTTGTGTTGGGCAAGGCCGTGGTCTAGGCAACACGGAGTTTTCCTCCGTGGCATCCCAACAATTACTCCATTCACACACAGAAGAAGGCAATGGCAAACCACTTCTGGATCATCTGCCAAGAACGTATATGAACAGGTCCCAGTCCGAGAAAAGGATGGAAGGATCCTGTTCATATGGACCTGTCGTCAGACAGAACACTAAATAAATAAAATAAATAATATTGTTATTTTAAAAAATCATATTCAAAAAATGCATTATGTATCTGAGTTGGCTCTGCGTCCGTCTTCAGGCAAAAATGCGCCTACTCCACTGTTCCCGTTAGATAAAGTTAGTGTTAGCCGTCGTTGTAAACTACGTTAGCGAGCTAAAACTTTACAAAGACGTAACTTATATCTAGGGATCAATTTATAAACGCCCATGAATTCTACTCTCGGCGAAAACAATTAACATAATCCTTTGTATCAAGCTGGAACAAGGAATTTTGACAAGGTACAGCTCTGTTATTTTATGGTGGCCCTTGGTCGGCGAAATAGGGGGAGGGAGATAAGAATATTGGGGCGAAGTGCAATGACAAGTCCCGCTGTCGGTACCAAGAGAGGTCATGACACAGTGGTTACAGATGTGTTGGGAAAATATTAATCTTTAATGTCCATAATACGGTAAAACTGAGCGAGATATTGACGGACGTTTCACTAACACTTTGAATGTAACTGAATTATTCGTATTTCAAATTTATTACATAAATATATGTTCTTCTTCCTGTGGCTCTACAACCACGTGTGGGCCTTGGCCGCCTCCTTTTGGAGGGTTTTTTAATCTTTGAAGTGTGCATATGTGAGTAGTGAGTGGCCAGCCCACTGCCTCTGCATAATTTATACTCAATTCTGATTCGACTGCTAGAGCCATCTATAAGAGAATCAAGAGAGACATGGGTGAGAAATGGCCACTGAATTTTGATTACGAAACATCTCGACATAAATATACGCACACTTCGTAAAACCAGCGTACTGAGAAAGTTTTATGCTTGCCGGATGAAATCTCTAAATTCGACCTGCTCACCGGCAGATATCAGCAGACTGACACAGACCGAAAATAAGCAGAACTTTTCTGACCACGTTTACTGCGCAGCCGAAACCAAGGACCACCATAAATTAACAGACCTGTAACCTTCTAAATTACCAAACAAACTCCTAGCTACCAGAAATAAATTCAATAACAAGTTCAAGAACTGGTTTATTATAAGAAGTGAAATTGTGTATATTTCCTCTCATGAAAGTTAGAACAATTACTGTAATTCAAATATCTACTGTGACGCCGGTAACAAGAAAAATGTATATACAGCGTGTTACTCCGAGGAGGAAAACGAGGAGGCCAGTTGTCCTCCTCTCCACCAGACAACGGAGAAGTTTACCTGTGACCCGAAGGGACCAGAAGCCCGCACACCTGATTACGTAATGCCCCGAACGTCATGCTCAAAGAGATTTCACTGTCGGCTGACTCCCTGGGCAACCACCATTCCGCGCTGCATTTATTCCGACCTATTTGCGAACATCACCCGCATTCACCCGTCATGAGTTCGTGTGTGAGAGGCAAACCTGGTCGCCAACACCCAAGTTCATTGAAACATACCAAACAAACGTCTTCAGGTAAGGCGCCAGTCCAAACAGTTTCATTCTTCGCACACAGGTAACGTCGCCCTGGGCCTAAGTTTCACGCGTTATGGACCTCGTTCGTAACGACAGATGCGTAGACACCTGTGAGCTGCACGATCTGACATTCGGGACGCGGGTATTTCTCTGTGCATGCTGTCATGTCCTCCTCTGAACACGGTAATAAGTCTTTGGGTTACACAAGAGGCGTGTAATTTCTTGCCCTGATGACGACTCACGATCCCCCCAAAAGATCTCAACTTCTCAGACCTCATTAAATTGCGTCCAGTCTCAACCAGAATTACTTCATTCAGAGCAGACAGGTTCACAAACCAGATTTTCTGCAGTCAATTGAACGATGCTGTATCAAAGTATTTTACCTGCCAATGGTTACCGCACGTTATAGTTACCGTAAGGCATGCGGCGGCCGACAGACTGCCAGGGGCTAGATCGCGAAGTATAAGTTGAACCTCGGTCAAGCTGAAGGCCTGATGTACCAGTGGCACAAAGGACGACACGACCATCAATTACAAAATGCAAATATAAAGCTATTTCGTCCCTCAGACTCACGTGTAATCAGAGCTTGCTGTGTTAGTTTTCTGCAACCCAGAAGCCAACTGCTTGTGTCAGTGCGGCTTGCTTTCTGCAACCCAGAAGCCAACTGCTTGGCTCTAAGGGGAGTAGGTGCACTACAGGGAATTACTTTCACACTACAGCACATCCGGGTGTTGGTCTTCTAGGTTGTAACACTGTGTGAAACTCCAGAGATGCTGACGTATCGAGGAAAAACATACTGCTTCCACCTTCAGGGTTGAATATGGAGGCTGTATGTTTCTCCACTCGGCGTTCCAACCCAGTACATCAACATTGAAATCCTCGTTAACAAAATAAACTCAGAACTTAAGCATTCTTCGTTTCTGCACAGTCAGACGCCACACAAAAGCGCTCTGCTCAGTTGTAGTACGTCTACAACATTTAAGAACGTTTCCGTCAATATTATTCTTGGCCAAAAGAGGCCCGCGGTCAAGAGAGAGGCTGCCTCAGTTAATCAAACAGCTACAGCCTCTCACGAAGCGCGGTTTTGCACCATTCTCTCCTGACAGAGTGTCACAATTTAATCGCGAAACATGCCGCTCGATGTCATGTCAGGAGAGGTAACTGGAAACGAGGCTCCCTCTAATTCAATACAACCCTAAACCTCCACGTGGGGGTCTGAGCCTTCATAAACGATGCTCTGGAAACCAAGACATATGTACGATAAAGAAAAGCGTGAGATTTCGGATCCTCATGACGAGTATGAAGATGGTTGTCCTCTGGGCCCTGATAAACGAGGCAGCAAGGACCTCTAAAACGTCGGTCAATATCTACCAGGCTACACGGCGCAACACCCCAGAAGACAGCCACGTCAAATCCTGCTAAACCGAGTGTTTGAGAACAGTTGTAATCGTATGGTCAATGTAGAACAACGTGGTCATTTCCAATTTGTCAAGTAATTGTTTTTAATTCTTGAGTAATTTTATACTTGTCTGATGTTAAAAATCCAAAAAAACATGGTTTAAAAAAAACATGGAGAGAATACATTATCGTCGTATGAAATAAAAAATGTATTGTAAACAAACTAGCGCATTCTTAGCAGGATCTGAGGTTTTCAGAGTGGTGAGTGTGAAGATGGCTGTCTTCTGGGTTGTAGCGCCGTGTAGCCTGGTAGAAGTTTACCGACGTTTCAGAGGTACTTGCTGTCTCCATCATCAGGGCGATGAGATAACTCCATTCACACACAGAAGAAGGCAATGGCAAACCACTTCTAGATCATCTGCCAAGAACGTATATGAACAGGTCCCAGTCCGAGAAAAGTATGGAAGGATCCTGTTCGTATGGACCTGTCGTCACACAGAACACTAAATAATAATAAGATGAGGTGGTCTAGCGGTTAGAACGCTGGCCTTGTAATCCTGGGGTCTCGGGTTCGATTCCCGGCGGTGCCCGAATTTATAACTTGTGTTGGGCAAGACCGTGGTCTACGCAACACGGAGTTTTCCTCCGTGGCATCCCAAAAATTACTCCATTGATAAAGATGCCCATCCTATTTCTTGAATCTACACTGAAGACCAAGACACTGTCCCGTCACCTCCGTTTTCAAATCAGACTGTCTTCGATCGGTCCTTATATTTTTAAATGACTCGATGAAATCAATCGTTTCATATTGTACTCACCACCAGGACTCAGCCGGCATGTTCCGCGAAGCTTGAGCAAATGCGATGCGCTGTTCTTGGCAGACTTCCATCCTGACGACGCAAATGCACTAACCCTTTGAACGCTCTTGCAAACTGATGTTTTCGTCACACGGGCCTTAAATAATCCTCTCCTTCACTGAAATATCGCAGGAGCGGAGTCAGTTTATAGATTTGATTCCCTCAGACTTCAGATTTCGACCAGACGTCGGCTCGAATGCAATCGTTGTGTTTCCATCGTCGATTGTAGATCGAGAATTGGACCACTGCCACTTGCGGGGACTACTGAAACAAAACAAAGACGCATTACGTTCCGTCGATAACAAGCAATTTAATAATAACACGCTCTCACTAGACCGCGTGACGTTGTCTGCTTTGCTTAACGACGCTGTTTCTCTGAGTGTTAATAAATATCGACACATCAT